AAAACCTGATTTCTTCCAGTTGTGAGGATGGTCAACTGCCATATGGGCTTGTGGCTAGGAGACTGGGGGATACTCAATATAGCAGACTAGTGAGGGTGGAGATAGAGCCAAGCAGGCAGGAAAAAACATACCTGCCCCACCACCATGCTGCTTCTGCCAAATATTTAGGAATGCCTCTCAAGGGGGTGGGGGGGGGAGCAGAAGAGTGTGATGTTTCTGGCCTCCTAGTGCCTGACAGTTCTGCCCCTGAGGCTGCCAGCAATATTGGGCTTCCTTCTTCATGTCCCCCATCCCATCCCATGGGGTAATGCAGCCAAGCGGTGTTACTGCTGTTGTGAATTTGTTCTGTTTGTTTGCATTATTAACACTTCTAACTCCATCTTCTGTGAGCCCTCTTGGAGGCATCCCCATTTAGTATGCAGGCCTGGTTGGCCAGTTGCCATAGCAATCCATTGGAGTCCTCATAATACCACAGGAAGCAAGATCAAAAAGATAGGATTGCAATAATGCAAAAAAAAAAAAGAAGAAAAAGAAGAAAAAAGAAGAAGAAGAAAAAGAAGAAAAAAGAAGAAGAGAAGAAGAAAAAGAAGAAAAAAGAAGAAGAAAAGGCATCTCTCCCACTCTTCTGCATACTCTGGCACTTTGCAAGATCACAACTTTCTGGGACTGGAATGGAAGAAGAATACAGCTTTAATAGCGACCTGCTAAAAAACTAGATACCCACAAGGAAGAAAATAGACATCACTCATTTACAAGCATGGCAGCATAGATGGTGCACCCGGAGCCTCTATTTCCTAAAACACTTTATATACCACTTTTGATTTTGCTAAATTATGAACTACTCACTTACAGGTAGGCTTTTACCTAGTACCTCCTTACCCATATGGAGACACAACTCCCTTTGCACTAAGGACAGCTAATGCCTACACAGCCATGTTTGCACACGTTGTCCACCTCCACTCCAAAAGGGAGCAGCTCACCAACTAGAATTTGCGGAGGCTGATGCTGGCCCTCAGGGAATGGAGGCCAAACCAAACAATCTCCTCCCTTTATTTCATAATAGCAATCTCATTTGCTGTTTTTTCCTGGATGCACTTAAGATGCCCATTTGAATCAAGCCTATACTATTGTTCAAACAAGAACTAGCCCAGATTTTACACAGTGGCCTCCAAATTGACCCACAAACATCAGCCAGATCACTACCGTGTACAGCTAAGCCCCAGATAAACAGGCCTTCACTATAAAGGAGTTAAGCAGAGGACAACCAAACACCAAAACACCAAAACATCCTACTTGACATCAGGTCCAAAACACAGATGAGAGCGCCTGGCCTTGAGGATACAGCAGCTGATGCTTATGTGAGCACAAAAGTAATGCCAGCGCCGCTTGGTGTCTGCTCTGACATGTTGCTGCTAACCAGGCACATACTGTGGATTCGGGAGGTTATGAAAGCAGTGATGGATCACTACTACAGCTAGCCCCTGCACTTCAGAGAGTAAAGCTCCTGTTTATTGTTCACATTTTGTTGGGGCATACAGATGGAAGCCAGTAAGTTCTTCCTTGCCTCCTTTTTTAAGGTAAATGTAACAACTTAACAAGGCCAAGGCATTCTTTGACTCAGCCCCAGTAACTCCATCACTCTTATATTACAGAAAATCTTTAATAGAAAATGCATTTTCAGAGCTATGTGGGTTTTAGGTTCAAGATACATTCATAAGCCCAATTGCATTGCTTGGTAAGAGACAACAGTGGGTAGACCTACACTTTCAGAAGGATGTGTTAGACTTGGAAGCTCACTGTGTGATACTGCCAATTTCCATTGAGCACCTTAAAACTTCTCAGGTGCTTTTGGGGAGCTGTAGAGACCTAGCACCTCAGAAAGCTGGGTGACTCAATGTGGCACCCAAAATCTGTAGCTTCTTACAAAAACGGTGACCTCAGAGAGTATTGTTCTGCAGGAACACGAGGTGTTTTAGTAGTGTCTGGGAAACCTACACTGAGAGTCAGAGCGCTTTAGCCAACCGCAACCTCCCCAGTGATGGGTTTTACTTAACCAAAACATAGTTGCTTAACTGGAACAATGCCTTACAGGAAGTGGTACCTGGACCCATCCTGCCCAGGAGAACAGGCATAAAAGGACCCCTGAATGTTCCAGAACCCTTTGGGTGGAAGCCACCTCTATGAAGTGTTTTTTCTCTGCTCTGAAGCCAAAAGAAGAGATTCTGCCTTCCTTCACTGACTCATCTGGTCAAATCTATTTTGGCTGCTTAGAGCAGTGCTGAGCTATGAACTAACTGCTAAAGGTAGACAAGCACAGAATCCATCTGAGTGCATATGTATATTATTTAAAGAGTGTGAGTGTTATAAACCAGGCACAACTCTTTTGTCTGGAAAGGTACATCAGTGAGAGACGAGTACAGCCAAAGATACCTGAAAAATAGACCTGGGCTCACCACCAACACCCAGCTCTTATCCCTGCCTCCCTGTTCCCAGAGCCTTCATCCATGTCTTCCTTCACCCACCTTTCTTCTCCATTTTGGACATTTTGATTTCCCTGTAAAAACGTTAAAAGAAGAAAATATGTATTATTTTTTATTTCACAGTGTATGAGTAGCTGTAGAAAGCAAGTGGATGAAGACTCCATCCCCACTGGGGAGCACGTGGCTAACGGGTAGATTTAAATTATATGAAGCACACTGCTCTCTCGTAAGCTCTGCTTGGCATATTAAACTGGTGTCTTACATTTCCTTCCCATGCCAGAAATATTCATCTCCCACATCATAAAGACCCATCCATGAATAATAATATTAATAATTAAGCGCCTGACTCTAGGGCTATACTTTGAGCATCATAACACTCTAATCATTTGCTTATCGCATGATAATTACACTCCTCCATCCTATTTCTATGCTGTGCCTTACTGGTTAACCATTTATTTGCTAGTGTTTCTTAAGTCTCCACCCAAGTTTTCAGACCCCTAAGTTTCACCTTCTTAGCAAACTGATGAGGAATGTGCTCCAGATTCAAAATGCCTTCTTTTAAAAATTAAAGATAGTTGCACAAGCATGAGAAGCAAGGAGAAAGAAATCTAATCACTTCTACTATTATTTTAACAGCAGCACAGAAATAGCACTTTATACTCCTTCCTCAGAGTCCGAGAGCAACAGTGTTCTCAGAGACAGCAGCCCTGAGGCTCTGCTGACAGTCATTCTTGCCAGGCTGTCAGAGAGAGGTGGATCAGCTATACGCGGTAGCATGGATGTCCCAACAACTTCTGTTATTATAGAAAGAGTCTTGGCTCCTTCCCAAACAGAAGGGGAAACAGCTAAGTTTGTTCAGCACTAGTGAGGAGCTGGAAGCAACACAGGTATGTTAATATGGCATTCTGTATTGCTTAATTAAGCTTTCTGAGAAGCAAGGTCTATCTTGCACAGGCTTACCTGAAAAGGCCATATGGAAAGGAGTTGCTTTGTTTGTTTTTTAAGCTCATTTCTCTAAGAAGTAAATTATATGAAGCTATATTTCTCTAAGAAGTAAGGTCCCTGTTCTGCCATCTTTTCCATGACAGCTACAAGTACAGTAACTGCTACACTGATTTCAACTGAAACTATCGTTAGATGCAACTCAGGATAAGAAAAGGTACACTGACTGCTTTCGCACATACGTCTTCACTGTGACACTACCTTCCCTGTTTTCTATCCCAAGGACTGCAACTACAGTACAGAAACTGGAGATTCTCAAGCACCTTATTCATGACATTCCTGGAAAGTCCAGCCACAAATCTGCTCCATGGAGATGCAAGTCTCTGGACAGGCAGAGATTCCTTCATTACATGTAATCTCACAGCATATAAGGCATCATTTCTGAAGGAGCTTCAGAAAGAGAGAAAGTTCATTAAAAACAAGGGGATAGCAGTCACAAAGGCCATCAATAAGAAGAAAACAACAGCAGAGAAGCCAGAACAAAATGGGCAATAACTACTGGTACATCAAAAGCAGAATATATCAAAAAGTTTAGTGTCAGCAAAGAGGGCTTAAGAAAATAACATGAAAGCAACAAAGCCGCAAACAAAGGTCTGATAAGACCAAAAGGCTGGTGGGTCTGGAAAGATCCCTAATGTTAGAAAAACTGCTTTTGTAATTGTTTTTGACTCCATCCTAGAAGAAACATAAACAATGGCTCATATGGCTGAATTAATTCTGAGATTGGCGGTATGGCTTGCTTGTTTTGTCTATCTAAATAAAGTACCAAAAGAAGCCTTTTCCTTGCTGATGTTCTCCCAAAAGCAAACAAAAAGACAGAGAGCAAGAATATTACCCCAGAGATGATGAGATTCTCCACACTTACTTGGGGAGGAAAAAGAATCCTCTCTTTAATTTATTAAAGAGTCACTAGTTACATACGGATGAAGACAAGTCAGATCCTGCAAACTTTAGTGATATAAATAACCTCTTCTGCAAGGTCTGTTAAGCTGAAGAAGAGCTGAAAAGACTGAATGCCAAAGCAGGATGAGGCATCTGAAGACACTGTATTTTGGCCAGGAATGAAACAAAAGGGGAAAGTAAACAAAATGATTTTCAATAAGAGCTAAAAATAAGGTAAGAGAGGCAATTCTTGTTCAGGTCAATTTCATACAACTATCACCTATCAAGACTCCAGCACTGACACTACGAGACAAGAATCAGAGCAAGTCCTTACTAGATTTCAGTGCCTTGAAGAACTGACATACACAGAGCTACCTCTCAGGAATGACTAACCCTGCTCATAGATGTCAAATAGAGCATATTCGGTTTTATGAAGGAAGTAAATGCCCACATGGTGTGTGGTTCCCTACATTTCTAAAAGCCAGTCACACAGTGTCAACCAGGAACACTACCCTTCTTGTCTGGAACTTTGCCTGGGGCTCTTTCTGCACTAGAAAGCTGCACTGCTTTGTTACACCAACTTCCTCAGTCTGGCAGACCTCATCTTAAAGGCATACCATGCAGATCTCACTATCCCTTTTGGGAAAACGGGACAGTCACTTCTTGCAGCACTGCTCTGAGCACACTGATATGCAGAGGTATGTTATACTTCTTTTTTTCCTCCTATGCAACACCGTACTGCTCCTCCCCGCCTCTTCTTAGTCAAACAGCTGCATACTAAATGCCTGGAAGGACTTTTGCTTCTTTCACACAGAAGCAAAATATCACCCATTAGCAGCAGAAAATCAGTGCCTAGAGGCAGTAGCTGAGAGCAGCTTCACTATCCTCACTTGTTATAACCCTGCTTGGAATACTACCTATTAATAACCTATATCTCACTATGGCTGTCTTTTCACTAGGGCTTTTTATCACTACAGCCATATCAGCAAAATGTTATTTCCTAACCACATCTATTTAAATCATTAAAATTTCAAGCCAGACCTAAATCAAACTACTCGAAAGAAACTCAGAAATAGATACTTCCAATCAGTGTTCTAACAGCATAACTCAGCTTTATCTGATTGTTTATGCAAATGTACTGCAAACCAGAATCTTTGTAATACTTCCTGAAATACCTTTCTTATCTAGAACGTTTGCAAACAACTTTGCCACAACTATTGTCTTTGAGTGTTTTTTATTGTAGTTTATTATCTGTCTAGTGTGACTAATTGTCTAAATGATGTTTCTGGCTTTGCTGCTTGATTAGATGCCTCCCAAAATCAAAATCAGCCTTCAAAATAGCTATTGAGTATTTCAACATGAACACTCAAATAGGTCCGTAGTTAACACAAGTATCCACGAGGGTCTCCTTTTCCCCTCATTTCTGTGCACTAAACTGGGCTGGTCAGAGCACCCCAGGGATGCAAACAGAAGAAGTCAGAGACATCATGGGAATGATATTTTAATAACTTATACTAGACTCTGCAAAGAAACAGAGATGGGACAGTGAAAACCACTGACTATCCATTAGTGCCTTTTGTCAGCAGCCGCTCAATTCTATCTGGTACATGACAGTCCCTGCCTAATCATCTCAGGCTTCTTGTCCCATTCAAGCTACGCAGTAAAACAATGACACTTGTATAAACTGATACACAAGCAAGCCAGCTCCATTCTATCCAGGAGAAAGCAAACCTGAACCTAACCACAGGACTAGTACCTGACAACCACGAGGACCTGAGGATAAAATCCCTCTGCTGCCTTATACTTGTAATTGTCTGGTAATGTGTTTGTTGCATCAGTCTACCGTCTCTCATTGTGTACTCAAGATTGCAAGTGCTTCAGGGCAAAGGCCATCATCTTTTGTATGTTTATACAGTGCCTACAATTACAGGACAATAGCAACTGGAAAACAAAAAAATCAGGTTGTTATAGTAATAATGACAGAGCTGAAAAGCAGTGATTCTGGCTGTGTCAAAGTTGTATAAATCCATTTAATCCTTAGAGATTTGCTAACCTCCCCAGCCTATTCGAGAGCCTGACTCCTAAGGGCAGGCAGCATGGAGATAAACTAACGCACCAAGGGCTAAAAGCCCTAGTAGGCTAGTATGCACATGCTAGTCAGCCTGATATGATGGGACAGTCAAGGAAGCAAATGAATCTGTCTGATTCAAAATTCCTATTCTGAATGCCATTGGTTAAATAATGCACACACACAGAGGGTTAGAGCTGAGTACAAAAAAAAGATGAATGGGATTTTATTTTCATGAACGAGGAACCTGGTAACAGAAAATCTTCTTGGGACCTGCTAACTTAGCACAAAGTCAAATTTTAAGTCAAACTTATACTCATTGCTTTCACTGCACACACAACAGCTTTCCTCTCAAAGAAGTTAAAGCCTCACTCTTCCTTCAAAGACTGGTTCTACTCAGACAGGTAATTAAACTCAACAGCAAGTTGCCCCAAGTAGTTGCCTTCCAAAAACCTCAGTTTTTGGAAATACACTCAGTTTTCATATCAAAAAACAGTCAGTGAGGCAAACTCAGCCACAGGTTCAACTCTGATTCTTTACTGCTGATGCATCAGCTTCATTAAAAAAAAATATAATAATAATTCTTCAGTCTAAGTTACCACATCACTGTGACTCCACTGCTTTCAGGGGAACAGACCTGAGAGGATGGAATCTGTAATCTACCAGCAAGCACCTTTAGCAAATGGGAAAAGGAGGCTTGTTGTCTCCTCTCTGAATCACCAGAAAAATGTAAGTATCACTTAAGAGGCTTGTGACTGCCTTTTGATACGTGGTCACCTATGGAAGGACCAAGTTCCAGGGAAGACTCAGCAGTTGATGTGATCCTGAAATCTAAAGAGCAAAAGATTACAAGGCTCAAAGACGGCTTCAAGACTCTGTCTTGAAAGGGTCAGATACAGGGCCCAGTAGCCATCCGATTAAACCCTGGCATACGCATTATTTATGACATCATTAGTAAGTCAGTGCCTGTTGGCCACCCAGGCCTATTCGCAGGGCACGCAGTCTCCAAGCATGATGCAGTCAGACACACACAACCCATGAGCAGAAGTGGCTCTGGGCAGGTGGCTAGAGCCCAGACCCAGGTTTAACAGCAGGCTCTGCTCTGTCTTTCACAAGCCCCAGCCTCCTGTGCAGCCATCCACACCACCAGTGACCATACCCTGGCTCTGGCTGCCTCCTGGTAGGATGCTGCCCGCCACAGCTGCGAGCCAGGAGACCCTGCAGGCACCACCAGGGCTCACCACCTGGCACTGTGCCAGCACACTGCAGGCTGGTGAGAGCCACTGCCTTGCCTTCGCTTTTTCCTCTGCCTTGCCTTTGCTCTCTAACAACAAAATAGAAGAACAGAACAAAATAGCTCTTCTTCCTTGGAGGAACAAGCATCAAAATCCAGTAGCCTGCCGAGGTGGCTGCACATAAAGCTTGCTTACTCCTGCCACCCAGTGCTGTTTCAGCAGCTGTGAATTTAACAAGAGTAACATTAAAATAACTACACCTATTTATAAAAGCAGTGAGGCTAAGTGACATTTCTATTACACAGCACTCACCACCGGGAGATTCCCTGACGCTGCAGCAAACCAACATAATCTGCATCACGATGCACTGTTCTCTCTGCAGCGTGTTTGAGAAGGTTGTGCCGAACTGCTGTAGCAGCAGGATTTTATTCTGCTCCCACTAGAGATGCGGGACGTTTTGTCACAGGCTTTTGTGGTAATAAGATCAAGTATTAAATCCATGAAGAACTACTACCTATGTTATGTGCATCCACTTGCCACATACACAACACTGTTCATCTTGTATAATCAGCATTATATAGCTTGTGCATCATGCTGTCTCTGCAACATACTGCAGCATGCTGTTCTTTCTAATACTTCAGCCTGAAATAAGGGCATTCTCTTTGGAGGATGTTGCATGAACTGCATTACAATATAATTTCCATTTTACACTGTATGGTTGAGATTTTCATACGTCTAAACACCATACCATTAAAGTTAATGAAAGGCTCGTTACAGTTTTTTGCACTACTCCAAAAAATCTCAATAACACATCAGAATTCAATTCTCTTCTATGCATTCCTCTCCTATCCATTACAAAGACTGCTGCTGTAGAGCACAGTATACACTAACAGACACAACAAAACACCAAGGTCAGATACTGCTCTTAATCTCTCTAGTTTAAATACAGAGTTACCCTGATAAAATCAATTGGATTATCGATATTCACAGCAGTGCACAGGAGAGCAGAATTTGACCCCTAATCTCTATCACATGGACTGTTGCCCTGAAGCAAGCTGCAGGTCCCAGTAATCTGTTCATATGCAATCAGTGTAATCTGCAAGAACTGCTCTGTGTACAGCAAATTAGCATAACAATCAAACCACTGAACTACCGTAAAAACAATTATTATATCCAAGGCACTGTCCTCCACAGCAATAAAACATACACCATATGCAGAACCTCTGCAGTAGATTGCACAAACTAGTTGCACATGTCAATAGAAGCTGCAAACTCAAGATACTCTTCTTCCACTATACCACCTGCTTAATTCTGCCTGACCCTCAACATTTATTGGGCCTGACTCTGCTGCCCTCATCTCAAGTATGATCATTTTACTAATGTTATGTAATGAACTTTCTCAAATGTTCTTTGAATATGCATAGGCTTCATCAGTATCAAAACCTTTATTTTTTTTAAATGACTATAGATAGCAAAAGACAACACTTTTTACCCTTGCCCACAAAAATTCATTTTTCATATATGCTAGTCTTCTTTTGCATTAAGACTTGCAGGGAAAAAATTGTAAATCAAAGCCAAAAAGACAAAAAAAAGTATATCTATTTTAATAAAGACACTAAGCTCTGCATGAGATGCTTGTGAATTCTGATTATACCCATACTAGTCCAAAGATAGCAATAGCATGCATTCAATCAAAACGTACTTTAAAGCTATTCTATGTCACAGCCAAAAGGCATACACGGTGTAAATCATAATCCCAAAGCTTGACACTAAAATTGCCTTAGATGTCTCACAACTAGCTTAGCCTTTACATATTAATTTGGCTTTAAAAGGCTTGCTTTTCTAGTATTCAAATCGCAAGCAAGATGCAGGGGGGTGACTTCTATGCAGGTAGGTGGGCTCTTTTTCCAACCTGGACTACTGCTGAGTTAAAGGTTTCTAAACCAATGCAAGCTTGGCTCTATTGCTATTAGAAAATGATGCCATCTTAATAGCAAAAAGGCAGGTCTCAAAGAAAATAGCAGGGTTTTCTTCCATATACAGGCTTATGTATGTCATTCTCATTACACGGTTGGACAAAGCAATACCATTATAGCATCACTGTGTGTCGTACAGATGATAGAGAATACAAATGCTGATACTACTTGGCTGCAGTATCTTCCCTGTAACTGTCTGCTTTTCAGCCCATGCTCATTGTAAATTAATTACTTTGTAAACCAGGAGATGTTCATCTAGCTTGTATGGGAGAGGCCTGCACTTTGAAAGCAAAAGCCCTTCCATATGAGCTTTAGGTGCAGGGGTAGGCATGCTGCTATGCCACATCAAATTTGTTGCATTGACTTTGGGAGAAGAAAGCTCCAAGATACTCAGGTATTTCTTATAAAACATGACAAATTAACAATAACATTCAAACAAGTTCCTAAGTGTGCTTTAAGGGGAAATTACTCTTAGCTTTCCTCTCTATTCCAAATTCAACAAAGCAGAATGCCAGGTGGGATGGTTGCAGCCCAGCAGCCAGCTCAGTGCAGCTCCACCTGCACAAAGAGCAGCGGTTTGTCCAGCGTTTGGAGTGAACAGCAGTTCTGATCAGCTGCTCAGGATTTCCTGCACTTCTGAGTTATCCTTCTGAGATTTCTATGCCTCAAAAAAGGGAATGTTTTGTTCATTTCCCTTTTTGTTAAAATATCCCTAGCAAAGATGTAAATACGAGGAGCTTCACAGCACGCAAATTACAGAACAACCTGCCCAGGGGGAAAGTTCCTTCCTAACAGATGCAAATCAGAGCTTTGTGCCTTAACATACAGAATTCTTGTAGCTTTATTGTTTTATTTTAGTTCATTCTTTTTAATGCTACTGTTGAGGTTCTCAGCATATAGAGACAAGGAGGCGATCTCAAGGACATGCGTGTCCACTGGGAGCATGCATCTGGGAGTTAGATGCCCAGCTTGGTTTTTGTGCCTTTGAAAATTCTCCTCCTCTTCTAAACTGCTGGCCTCAGGGCTACCTTTTGGCAAGATGTTCTGCAGCACTCAACAGAAAAACTTCTTTAACTTATTTAAAAATTTTGCCTTTCAAAGCTACCAAACATCTCCTTCCTCTCCTGCTATAAAATGCACAATGGAAGAGTTTCTTACCATCACCAAATTGGTCCTCATTTCATATACTTCTAGGATAACTCCTCGCTATTCCTCCACTCTCCACAATAAACAACCTATCTTTCTGTGTGAAAGCTCCCTCATATTTCTACAGATAATCACTTCTCCCTGAATGCTTTCTATTTCTTTAATGCCTTTCTAAACATAGAATGACCTAGAATGGACGCAGGATTCCAGGTGAAAATATGCTATCCATGTACACTGCTGATGTTTGAGAGGAAATGTCCAGATCTTAACCAAGAACGGCTCTGGCTGCCGAGCCTGCTAGCAGTCTAAATCAACAGTTTTCAATCTTTTCTGGTTTATGGATCCTAAAAATTTTCCAGCGGATGTCCTATAGCAAATTTATATAGCAAGTTTATATTGTCCTATAGCAAATTTAAGCGCACTGACAATAGGCTCACTTTCCCTAGTCACTCTGAGAAGAGTCTCCAGGAATCCATAGACCACAGATTATAAATCACTAAATCAATCGCCTTAAAAGAGGTGCAAGTTTCTCATTCAGCTCAACAAGGTGTTAACACTACAGCTTAGCAATAGCAACATACATGTCAGCACTCTTAACCAGTCTGACAGAATGATGATCAATAGAAACATCAGACAACTTCGCAAATCTGAAAGGAGTTTGGGAATACAGCTGGTGTCAATGTTTGTATTTTTCAGCCTGACCTCTGACATTGGAGTCCTGACTAATTTGGACTGGGGAGTTGAGAGAATTTTTTTTTCTCTCTCTGGCCCTGATTAGCATCAAGATGTGTAAATTTTTACAGGAACGTCTGACATTTAAATGTGAAAATTGCAATCCATATAATCATTACGTACACTTTTAAAAGTAAAGTGTTTTTTTAAAGATCTATAATGGTGAGATAAGAGAGCATATAACTCCTATAGTTAATACCCTATATAAGTTAAAATTGACATTTTCGCTGAGAGAATAACAGGTCTGCCTTTTAAGGTTTTGGTTAAGCAAGATGCTTAAGCATGCATGTAATTTTAAATATATAAGTAAAGCTGGCTGAAAAATACTGGTTGCTTTTCTGAAGAAAATTCTGGGGGAGTTTTTCATTTCCATTAAAATGTTTTGTTTCTCCAACTGAAAAACAAATCTAAAAAAATGCATTTTCAAAATTAAAAAGTTTCTTCCCAAAAACTGAATTTCCAGTTCAATTCATTTTTGCCTGCAGCAGGGAGGAGACAGAGCTGAAAGTTTCAACAAATAAAAATACAGTGCAGAAATCTGTTTTGCAGTTTTTTCCTGCCAAGCTCATGCACGAGCCTAAAGTGTAAGTATGCTTAAGTGCTCTGCTGAAACAAAGGCTAGACAGGATTATAAATCTGTCCTAGACAGGACCAATAGACATGGCAGGGCTGGTCCCTGTAGTCTCTGCTCCTGACACTGTAGGCTGGCTACCATCTCCAGTGCAGCATCCCCAAGGTACTTTCTGATGGCTGAATGTGGCAGCCCAGCCCCTGCGCCGGGTTCCAGCTACTGTTCACCTCCAATTCATTTGAGCCTGACCTAACCCACACTGCAGCGTAGGGGCTTGCTCTCTTCACTGGTGAGTGCCGTGAGCTAATATCACATGTTAGATATCACACATGAATAGGAGGCAGACAAGAGGAGCATGCTAGGCCCCAGCACAGCCTTGAGTAACTTACATTTGCCTAGAAGGATGGATAAAGCCATGGACAAATCATCAAGCAATATCTTAATAAGAAGAGAATAACAATAAGATGTGCCAGAGGAAACTGACAGTGCGACCTGCCTTGCTCCCTTCAGCGCTGATGATCCGCTCTCTTCATTAGGGTATCACAACCCAAGCACCAGCTATTCACCAAACAGTCATGCTACAGTGGCTTTTGCCAGGTCTTTTGCCTTTTCTTCCTGGATTTACACAGGCCGAGTTGTTTGGCTTTGCTTTGAACTCAAAGAATGAATTAGTAAATTCCCTCCCCAAGACAAAGCTAGGGTAGGAATACAACTTCTTTTTTTTTCAAAATTAAACCAGGCCAGTGACAACCCGAGGATGGGGGGTGGGGGTGCAGAGGGATTTATTCATTTTCATGACAATCGCCACAGAGAAAAGAGACGCTC